CATGCACGTGCCGCATGATCTCACCCAAGATGATTTGCTCCATAACTTTCCCTGGTACCAAGATCAGGCAGACAGGTCTGTAGTTCCCTGTATCCTCCTTACGGCCCTTCTTGCAAGATGGGAGTCACATCAGCAAGCCTCCAATCTTCTGGAACCTCTCCAAACAACCAGGAACGCTGGTAGATGGCAGAAAGCAGCTCGGCAGTCACCTCTGCCAGCTCCCTCAGCACCCTAGGGTGGCTTGACTATGGCAAGGGGAGAGGGTCACCATGGCTTGGGGGGGTGCAATCTCTGCATCTTTCTCGCAGAGTCACACCACCAGTCAATCTCCCTCTCGCACTCTCTGATGGTTCTTAATCTCTCTACCTCCTTTCAAAGCTCCACCACCAGGCTGAGCAGCCATCTATTTGCTCGCACCTCACTCAGGTGGCATCCTTCCCATCCTCCCCCGGCAGCAGCAGGCTCAAGCACTCCCTGCAGCCAGAGACCTGAACATTTCTGGGCAGGCTCTCCATCTGGGTCGCCATAGTCTTCTTGAGGCAAGCCGTCTGGTAGAGACCATGTTTGAACCTGCAGTGTCAGGATCTGTCAGTAGGAGAGCAATCTCCTGAGCAAAGACAAGAACACTGACGTGTTCTGCCACAAGACCCACCTCCTGCATCTACTGCTTCAGTAATAGGCAGTGTGGGCTGCACTAGTACTCTGACTTCCCTCCCTGTTATTGGTAGTCAGTAAAACCCTTTTCTCACCTTTTCTTATCTGGCACACTAGATGGGCAGAAGCTAGCTTTCTCCCTCCCAAGGGCTGCTTTTAGCCTTGTAGAAAAGGGTCAAGGTCAAGCTCAGAGATAAGAGTGGACAGTGCCAGCTCCATCCCTGCTGGCTCAGCAGCCTGCCCACAAGCTGCCAGTCCCTCCAACACTGGCATGGTGCTTTTGTTGGTTGCAAAAAAAAAACCAAAAAAGAGCTTTTTGGTTGGCCTTTTTGCTTTAGGTCCCTTACCCAGTGCAATCTTACCTGCCCTGAAACTGGTCTCCACAGCAATGACTTTCACATGGTAGGAAGGTGTTCAAACTCCACTGCAATTGTGCTAGCTCCGCCTCTGCTGGCTTAGCAGCCCGCTCACAAGCATATAAACAGGAGGGGGAACAGCTGTCTTTTTAAGGGTGGATAGTGATAGAACAAGGTGGAATGGTTTTAAATTGAAACAGGGGAGGTTTAGGTTAGATATTAGGAGGAAGTTTTTCACACAGAGGGTGGTGACGCACTGGAACAGGTTGCCCAAGGAGGCTGCAGATGCCCCATCCCTGGAGGCATTCAAGGCCAGGCTGGATGTGGCTCTGGGCAGCCTGGTCTGGCGGTTGGTGACCCTGCACATAGCAGGGGGTTGAAACCAGATGATCACTGTGGTCCTTTTCAACCCAGGCTGTTCTGTGATTGTATGAAGACCAAGTGCTGGGTTCTGCACTTTGGACACAATAACCTCAGGCAGTGTCAGGCTAGGGGCAGTGTGGCTGGATGACTGTGTAGAGAAAACAGACCTGGGGGTGTTGGTTGTTGCTCGGCTGAACATGAGCCAACAGTGTGCCCAGGTGGCCAAGAGGGCCAGTGCCATCCTGGCTTGTATCAGAAGTTATGTTGCTAGCAGGAGCAGAGAGGTAATCATCCCTCTGTACTCCGCACTGGTGAGGCTGCACCTCGAGTACTGTGTTCAGTTTTGGGCCCCTCATGACATGAAAGACATTGAGGCCCGGGAACGTGTCCAGAGAAGGGCAACAAAGCTGTGAGTAGTCTGGAGCACAAGTCTTATGGGGAGCTGTTGAGGGAGCTTGAATTGTTTAGTCTGGAGAAGAGGAAGCTCAGAGGAGACCTCATTGCTCTCTATAAGTACCCGAAAGGAGGTTGTGGTGAGGTGGGGGTCAGCCTCTTCTCTCGTGTAACAGTGATAGGACTGGTGGGAATGGTCTCAAGTTCTGCCAGGAGAGATTCAGGCTGCGTGTCAGGAAATACTGCTTTTCTGAAAGAATGGTCAGGCAGTGCAATGGGCTGCCCAGGGAGGCAATGGAGTCACTGACTCTGGAGGTGTTCAAGGAACCTTTAGATGTTGTACTGAGGGACATGGTTTAGTGAGAACTACTGGTGATAGGTGGTCAGTTGAACTGGATGATCCTGGAGGCCTTTTCCAACCTTGGTGACTCTATGATTCTGTGATGCTAAATAGAGCTCAGGCACCTTAGTTTAAAATCCAAGATCTTGGAAAAACATCTCCATCGTGTTTAGGTCACTGTCAGGGTGCAAGTTGTTGGAGCAGTGTCTATATTGACTACCGTCAGTACAAAATATAACTCATTTGTTTACGGTTTTTATTTTAAGAAGGAGGCACAAACTGTTACCAGCAAGGATCCTGCTGTGTTTTGTAATGTCAGCTGAATTAGGTTACAGATGAAGTGTATGAAAGCACAATCTTACTTTTAGAGTTTTGCCAGTGAAAAGAGGGTATAGGAGCACAAACCAGTTTTATTCTTTGTAGACATTCATGAAGGCAGTGTGAATTTTTCAAGTTTCATCTTACTAATGAGGGCTGAAATAGTAATAGTAACCGTATTGCATAGTACATAGCAGCCCCAATCATGTACAAGGACTGATCCAGAAACCAGATGGAAAGAGTGTACTAATGAAAAGTGAATATAGTGTAGGGACTGTGTGATAGGAAAAATAAATATAGAAAGACTGCTAAAAAAGAAAGTGATTTACATGGTAGCCTACTGTTACATGGTACTTTTCTTTCTTTTTTTGTTGTTCCATACAACAAATGAAGAAAGAGCTTTAAGACTGTGGTGATACATGAAGTGTGTTTTACCTCAAAGGCAACTGACTTTTTATTCATGGAAAGAATGCTTAATATGACTTCTGTCTGTCGTGTTTGCACTTGCAGTGGTGGCAGTGGCACTGGCTTTGTACAGGTCTGGGGTCCTGATACTACTGAGGCAGGCAGCGCTGTCACTGAAATCTGCCTCATGCTCCCAGGGGAAGCCTGGATCAACATGCATGGGTTCCTGCACTGTCTATCTGCCCTTCTTCAACCAGGAGCTGGCAATTCGTACTGCTTCTAAATGCTGTACCATACCCTTGCCCAGCCTTGTGCACGAGGGGATGCATGAGGATCTTGCATCTCTCCTGTATATGTGTTAATCCCATCTATCCCCTTTTACTCAAGCCTTTAGGATATATGATTGAAGGCAACGTCTTCTAAAGGTTTTGCCATACGGTGCGCAGGGTATCCCTTTCCACCTTGTCTTCCCTCTGCCACTGGTCTCTTTAGCTGAGCAGACCCAGGCTGCTTGCCCATTGCATGTGTAAGACTTCTGTCAGCTGCTGTCAAGATTTGAAATGTGACCCACTTTGTGCTATGTATGTTTTATGGTTTTGTCTTTATCATCATACATCCAATGTACCTAATGCTGAATCTCATTACTGGCAGTATGCAGGATAAGGTGTTTCAGGGTAAGTTGTAAGCAGTCGTCACTGAGCAATTACAGACTCTTCTACCTTTTTGAAGAAGAAATTTTCACGACCTTGCCACTTGCTTTTGTTACTCACTTTGAAAAGTGACCTGTTCTTTATGGTGTGTTCTTTTTTAAGCAGAAATCCCCATTGTCTTTATTCTGTGGCCGGATGAATTGGGGTCTCTTTGTTTTAAGTTGATTTGTATGTGAATAGAGCAGGAGACGTGCTGTTCCAGAGATGTTCTTGCTTTCAAATGGGGGGAAGTGTTAGGTCCAAGAACAAATCTGAATCAACTGAATGGATGAGGTCTACTAAACATCTCATCTTTCATAATGCTAGGGGTAATACCCACTTAGGCTGTTGTTTTTATGGCTTTTAATATTAATGCTTCTGTTTTCCTTTTGCAATTGAACTTCATTCTGTGATGAAATCTGGCTCTGACTCAAAAATGTTGTTTCTCAATGAAAATATTTACCGTGGTAGATTATAAAAATCCCAAATCAGATTTATAGTTTGCTTGATTGTCAGCCTATCTAGAGTGGGTGAACTGAAATGTTTCTGGGTTACATGTGTCTGCCTTAATATTTTTAGAAATTGCATAAATACTGTGGTCTAGAGAATGAGGGAATGCATTTGGAGCTGCTTAGGTACCATAAAAAGATGACTTATTAGATCTGTGTACGGAAGAACTGTTTTGGATCAGAGTTTGAAGTAGCTTGGCAAGCTTTTTGATCTGTGTTGAGTTCCATACTGCAATAGGGAACGGATTGTGTGTACCTGTGGCAGTGTGCCTGCAGAGAAGCACTGCTGCAGTGTTGTGCCAGGTAAATATTAAGTGTTCTCTTACTACCGGGTTATCAATGGGCATTTCCTTTCTTGCTATTCCTATTGCAAATTGCTTGAAAAAAAAATGTTTTTGTAGGGTAGTTACTAATGATGTGCTGTCATGAAAGGCAGATGTATCAAATGGGCTTCTCCAAGGATCTATCTTTGGCCCAGTATCGTTATCCAAAAATTCTGTTAACCACATTGATGATGAAAATAAAGAATAAAGCTATCACAGGTGTCACCATTCTAGAATAAATTTAGACCAATTAGCTTTGAAAGAGTTAGCCTATGGCACAAATCTGTTTTGCAAAGTCAGTTTTTTTTTTTTCTTAATTAGTTTATAAAATAAATTTTCAAGAAAGAGAAAGTATAACAATGAGAAAAAATACATATGACGTTCTAACTCAAATAAGAATTGCTGCTGCAAAGAATGAACAAGTGATTAGACTTGTTCTTTTGAAGGTTGCTTATGACAGAAAGATGAAGCGAGGTCTGCCTGATCTAGAAGAAAGTAGACAAGCAGGAGAACTTACAGTCTTCAAGCATTTGAAAAGTAATTTAAAAAATAGTGGGGACCATCGCTGTTGGAGATGACACGTTGGGTTTTTATGTTGCCTTTAGCCACATATGTAACTAAAAATATGTCCTTCTGTCCTTCCCCAACAGTCTCCAAACGTCCACAACTACCCAGATATGGAAGCTGTGCCCTTGTTACTAAACAACATGAAGGCAGATCCCCCGGAGGATTCATTATCTGCAGATCATTTCCAAACACAGACTGAACCAGTGGACTTATCAATAAACAAAGCCAGGTCATCCCCTACAGCAGCTTCATCTTCACCAGTTTCCATGACAGCATCAGCCTCCTCCCCTTCTTCTACTTCTACTTCTTCTTCTTCGAGTCGACCAGCTTCATCACCCACAGTAATAACGTCGGTATCCTCAGCAGCATCTGTACCATCAGTATTAAGTCCAGGTCCTCTCGTGGCCTCTGCATCTGGTGTGGGAGGTCAGCAATTTTTGCACATTATCCATCCAGTTCCACCTTCAAGCCCCATGAACTTGCAGTCCAATAAAATGAGTCACGTGCACCGTATACCCGTTGTGGTACAGTCGGTACCTGTTGTCTATACAGCCGTGAGATCACCTGGGAATATGAACAACACTATAGTAGTGCCACTGTTGGAGGATGGGAGAAGCCACGTCAAAGGTAAGGTAGAGCTGGTGTTGTGTGTCTGTGGCATCTGTAAAATCATTCTTGTATGAGGAAAACAGAACAGCCTTACAAAACTGTTTACAAGCTTGCTGTGTCATTTGCCAAAGTGACATAAAACTTCAGCTACTCACAGAGGACCTTTACAATTCTTATCCTCTGTGCTCTTCAAAATAAATTCCAAAAAAATAGTTGAGGTCAGCTGTGATGTTAGGTGCCTCGTGTCAAGTTTTGTCCTGTGAGAAATAGATCATTCCTAGGAACTGAAGAAATAGGACAACGGAGTAATGACAGTGTATAGAATATCATTGAAGGACATGAAAAACTCACCAGGTGATACAAAGCTCAAAAAACAAGAGCAGGAAGGAGAGTCAGAGAGATTGTTTCCATCAAAGAGAAAGCACTTGTTCTCTTGGAACGTGAGAAGGGAAGGTTTTTGGAATAAAGAGCAGGTTTTGTTAGGCTCAAGGAGTGGCATATTTTGAATGAAGTTGCCTCTTCCAGATTAAACAGCAGGAGGGAAGGAAACCACACAGAGTGCTGGGAATGAATTTTGCAGACACAGGATATAAGAGGCTCGTGGAGGTGTGAGGAGAGGAGGAAAGCACATGCCAGAAGGACAGATATGGTTGTAAAGGGGAGTCCAAAGAACACAGAAAGGGGATATGGAGAGCAAGAAAATATGAGAAAGTAACAGTTACCAATGTAGCAAAAAATTGTTAAGAGATGATGATATAATGGATAGAGGTAGAAAAGAGAAAACAGATGTGTCCAAATGCCTTGAAAAGTACAGCCTTATAAAGAAGGACATTAGTGACAGAAATGGGAACATGAGGTAGGGAATGAGGGATACCCATTTCAGGGTTCACTGTGTATGGGCGTATAAAATATGGCTAATTCTCCCCTGAAATGAGGTATTGCTTGAAGCGGAAAGGAAGGCTACTGACAGATAACCTCACTTTAGGGCTTATGAAGTTATGGGACATTTAGTAACGCATTATGTCTCTTGGGTACCTACTTGCATAATGAACAGATACCCACAACTGAAAGACGTTTTCTTTTAACTCTCCTGTCTACCTAGTAGTGTATATACAACAGTGGTTGGTCATCCTGATGTTTAGTACTGTTCTGTTGTCCATAAGTCTGTGGTTCTCCTCCCATTCCTTCAGTACTCAAGTATGAGGTGTGTCCTTTTTACAGGCTTAAAGCATAGAAACCAAACTCAAAGCAGATCTGTGTTTCGTTTTAAGCCTCAAAATGACAGTTTAAGAAGTTTTAGTACATTTCATACAATGACGCAGTTTTAGGACCTTGTGGCATTTTGTCAAGAAGTGATAAATGAGAGCAGAATGTTTCACCATGTTGTCTGAAATTAAAAAAAAAAATAAATCAGTTTTAGCCTGTATTTTGGTTTTGGAGCTTTGAGCAGCACCTGACCTTGAGCTCATCCGGAATTTCTGCCATGTGTTTTCTTTTCTGAGGTGCTGCTTGGCTCTGCCAGTACTCTCCTCCATGCGAAGGACCTCTTGATCTTGTAAAAGTTGGAAATTCACTACCCTGGCTTCATCAACGAAATTCCAGAATTTAATACGCTGTAGGGATTTCAGCCCACGAGCTCCAGGCCTCCTGAGCTGCCCTGACAATCTCTCTTTTGTACTGTTATTGGCAGAGACCATTAACCAGCCCTGCAGCACCTATTAAAGCTAAAGGAAAAGAAGGAATTACGTTTTTTTTGTTTTTTCTCGTCAGTTGTACCCATTTTGCTTTCACTAATTAATTTGATAGAAATGTTCAGGTGAATTTGAATTAAATACAGTAGAAGAATAATGGGCAGCAGTCCACTCTAGGTAGTCATTTTTTGTCATCTTTTGCTGGAGTGTATTTTTCTCTTATTTCATGTAAAACAATATAAATGTAACAGTGATGTTGCATGAAATAACTGATTAAACAAATTTCATAAATGCACGGATTAACTTGTCTTAGCTCTAAAGAAGTGAATGGACTGAGGCTAACAAGACATCTTTGACAAAATGAATTGACTACTAATCCTCTATACCAACTGAGGGAGAAATGCAGGTTCAGAAGTATCTGAAGTCACTACTTCTGTCGTTTACATGACTGTTAATCATTTTCTGAAACAAAAAACATGCACGCTGAAACAAAGTCATCTGCTGATGTTATCTGTTTGATAGCATCAGCAACATTGGTCCCATAATTTATGTATTCTTGTTGCTTCGGGTCCAACTCATGATACAAGAGTGTTTTAGGGTAGCACTTGCTGTTGGATTTTACATGAGTTTGTATTGATGTTCTTTTCATTGGAATGAAACTTAGGCATTTTCCTGAGCAGATACACTTTCAGTTGTAAACCCATCCAAAATTAAGTGCACCCTGGTTCAGAGCAGGGAAAAATGCAAGAGATGGGAAATACAGAGAAATACTTTCCATTGTTATTCCCTCTCAGATCCCAGTTTTCCTTGTGCTGAATTGTCCTGTTCCTCCCATGTTTTACTAGGAGCTTTTCATTTTTAACCTCACAAACTTCCTTTATCAGTTTAACCCTCCCTCCAGATATTTTATTCAGGTGGCTTACTGCTTCTCCTAGTGCTTTATGGGAACCTCTCTCTCCAAGAAAACTATCCTTCCAACAGCTGCTTTGTAGACAGTTCAAGTAAAATCTACTCTTCTTCATGTTCTGTTTGAGTACTCTCATTATTTCAGGAAAAGGAATCTGTTTCTTTGTGTCCTCTATCTTCCTCTCTTTTCACCTCTTTTTTTCTACTTTACTTATTATTATCCTTCCTTATTTTTCTCTGAGTTAGCAGATCTGTTTCATCTCTTCCTCCTTATCTGTTAATATTTCTGTCCCACATTGTTGTCATCTCCGCTGCCATACTTTCTTATCCATGGCATCACTGATCCATGCACTTTCAGTCACACCTTCCTCCATGTGTGCTGCTCATTTCTGTTCTGTCTTGCCTCCTCTATCCTATTTTTCACTTGCAAGATTCCCTGTTAAAATCCAACCTTTTCTGCACACTGAAAACTAGATCATTTTGCAAAGAAATAGCTCCCATATACCTGAGATGCTAGCAGCACAGATTCATAAAATCACAGAAAGGCTTGTATTGGAAGGGACCTTAAAGATAATCTAGTTCCAAACCCCTGCCATGGGCAGAGTCACCTTCTACGAGACCAGGCTGCTCAAGGGCCCATTTAACCTGGCTTTGAACATTCCTTGAACACTTCGAGGGATGGAGCATCTACAGACTTTCTGGACTACATTTTCCAGTATCCAGCTACCCTTAGAAGTAAAGAATGTCTTACGTATATGTCTATTCAAAGTCTACCCTCTTTTAGTTTAAAGCCATTACCCCTTGTCCTAATACTACATGCTCTGACAGAGAGTCTCTCCTCATCTTTCCTGTAGCCCCCTTTTAAGTATTGGAAGTCCTCAGTGAGGTCTTCCCAGAGCCTCCAGGCTGAACAAACCAAATTTCCTCAGTCTTTCTTCATAGAGAGGTTCTCCAGCTCTCTGAGCAGCTGCATGGCCTCTAAGAGCTTCCCTGTCTTTCTTGTCCTGGGAGCCCCAGGCACTGGGGCACTGGCACAGTGCTCCGGATGGGGCTTCATGAGGGCGTAGTAGAGGGGGACAGTTGCCTTCCTCACCCTGGCAGCCATGCCTCTTCTGATGCAGGCTAGAGTACAGTTGGCCTTCTGGGCTGAAAGTGCACACTGCTGGCTCGTGTTGAGTTTTTCATCCACCAGTAGCCTGAAGGCCAGCTCTACATTCGTCACTCAGCGTATACATGCTTGGGATTGCCCTGACTAGGGTGCAGGACCTTTCACTTAGCCTTGTTGAACTTCATGAGGTTCACATGGGCCCAGTTTTGAAGGCTGTTGAGGTCTCTCTGCTTGGCATCCCATCCCTACAAAGTGTCATCTGTACTGCTCAGCTTACTGTCATCTGAAAGCTTGCTGAGTATGCACTGTATTTCCACTGTCCGTCTCACCAGTGAAGATACTAAACAGCAAGGGTCCCCTGCAGGACACCTCCTGTCACTGTTCTTTGCCTGGACATAGAGTCATTGACTGCTGCTCTTTGGAAATAGACATCTAGCCAATTCCTTATCCACTGAACAGTCCATCCATCAAATCTGTCTCTCCAATTTAGAGGAAAGGATGTTATGTGAGAATGTATCAAAGTCCAGGTGGATATGTCAGTTGTTCATTCTTTATCCTTAATCATTTCCCTGTCTTCCACATGCCATAACATGTTTTTGAGCAGGATCTACTCAATTAAGTGACGAGGCACAGAAATGAGTGTCCCATCAGGTCCTGTGTCACATACTATGTTTCAGGAGGAGCGACAGGAACCCTGGCTTTGCTACAAAAGCACCTTGCTGTCAGACTGTTTCAGAATAAAAACATCTCAGTTCACCTGATTTAAACCAAAATCGGAATCTGTATTTTGGGGATTCATTAAAAGTATATGGTAAGAAGGTAATGAGGGATTATACATTCAGGATATATGCTGGTAATGTAACGTCAGGAATGTATAAGTCTCCATAAGTACCTACACATTTCTAACACCTTTATGTGATCCCAGAACACTCTAATCACATGCACATGCAGATAGACACATACTTTCCTACCGTCTTTGAGACTTCCCATCCTGATACTGTCACTGCTGTGGGTGGCCCTACATGCCACCTCTGCACTGCCAGCTCACCCACAACCCAATCCTTAGGTTATTCCATATACACAGAGTGAGGCAATATGTTAAGGCTGTGAGGACGCAGGGGGGATGGAAGCCATGCAGTTATTCCTGGGCGCCATGAGTTCCTCAGCCCCTATAATGTGATGAAGGGATGAAGATTGCTTCCTTCAGTGGTCACTATTATACTCTGTCATCAGAAATTTTGAAAAAGATTTCAAGATGTTTTTGTGTGTTATGACAGCTAGGCATTATTACATATTAAAGTATTCCAGCTTGT